TTTCCGCATGTCCGCGTTCGGAGAAGGGAGAGACGCACTCCGAAGGTCGACTCGTTCTGGTCCTTCATCCCTTATGAGCCAATAACGTGGGCTGGAAGTACACGCGAGTAGCTACGAGTATGGTACGACGACAAGGGACTTAGGGAAGGAAGGGAACACAACTTAGGGAACGAGAGAGAGAAAGACGCGCATGTTCGACTTGCGCAGGTCCTCCTTCGACCACTCCCTCCCCTTCCTTCCCTCGTACCCATATCGCACTACCTCCCCGTCATGCAACAACTGCAGAACCTGCCCATCCTGCGACCAACGCAGTACGAAGTCAAACTGCGTGTCCTCCGGCAAAGCGGCGACGAAGGCGACCGCTCGCAGCTGGTGCACCTCTCCAGTGCGGGAGACGGCAACGCCGCGGATGGCAAGCCTGGGATTTCCAGTGTGATGGACCGACACTTCGCGGACTGTCTTGGCCGTGAAGGGCGAGCCGGTCGTAGCGAGCTCGTTAGGGAGGAAGAGGTTTGTCGTCCTGCGTCCGGCGTGGTGGTGACGGCTGAGGAGCGCATGGACGAGGTCGCGATAGGTGTCGAGGCGGAGGTTGGCGCCTTGGACTCGCGCAACGAGGTGAGGGAAGTGGGTTTGGAGGAGGTTGTCGAGCTGTGCCGTCGACGCGTTGAGGCAGCCGTAGCGGATCTCGATGAGCTCGTCGAGCGACATGTTCTGCTTCGACTTCGAAGAGATGTCGTCGGTTGGCTGCGTTGTGGCGCCGGCGGAAGCGATGCGATAGGTCGACATTACGGTCGACCAAAGGCGCTGCTTCGCGGTGAGAGACGCGGCTGAGAAGGAGAAAGAGTCAGCAAGCGTTCGAGCTGAAGCTCGGCAGTCTTCTGGGACTCACCCGAACTGTCCTCCTCGCGTGCCGCCCACAACTCCATTCCAAAGTCCCGCTTGTCGGCCTCTTTCAGCCTCTCCTCCTCCTCGCGCATCATCTCAAGCCGCCGCTGCCGCGCATCCGACTCCTCCGCTCCTCCGTCGTCGTCCTCGACCGCTTCTTCGCCTCCCCCGCCAGACGGACGAGTCATCATTTCGACGGTCAACTGGCCTGTTGTCTCAACGCGGCGCGAGAGTCCTTTGTCGAGCGCGAGAGCGCGGAGGGAGAGGGGGCGCCGTTTGGGGAGGGTATTCGGGTCGAGAGGTTGATCGGGCTTGAGTTGCGAGAGGTACGAGATGAGAAGCTGCGATGGGACGACCGGTCCGCACGAGATAGCGTTGGCGGCACCAGCCGTCGACGCTGCACCCGAAGCGACCGCATTCGTGACTTCACTCGCCATGGTGACGGAACGCGAGTAAGGGTAGACGGAGGAGGGGAGGGCGGTGACGAAAGTGAGGAAGAGCTGGACGTCGCCGGGCGGATAGGCGGATTGGACGGGTTGAAGGGCATGGAGGAGGACGGAGAAGAGGGACGCAGGGTCCGCCAGGTGACCGAGCGGCCGGACCTCGTTGTTGAGCTGTAGTTCTGACCCAGCGCCCCAGCCGACGTAGAGCGAGAGTCGAATCGAGGTCGGCTCCTCGTCAATGTCGAAAATGGCATCGAGCTTGTCGGTCAGAGCCGTGACGCAGAGGAGGAAGCTGTGAAGGACGCCCTTCGACTCGGCGAGACTGGCGATGTGGCTCGTGTTGAGGCCATCGACGAGCTCGCCTGCTGCCTCGGCACTCATCTCGACATGCCAGAGATACGTGTACCGGAAAGGCTTGGCAATCTCGCCGGCGACGAGCTCGCGGTCGAGAGGACTGCGCCATCGAGGGAGCATCCCGTCGAAACGCCGCACCCACTCCGGCAGATGCGGGGCGAGCGAACGGAAGACGGGGTACGTCGGGAGAACATGGTGCGCGCCCAAAGCCTCGGCGTTGTAGGCCTGCATACGTTCGTATGCCGCTCGCGTCTCCCCGTCGTCCAGCGCCCGTGCCGCCCATTCTGCGCCAGCCTCCGCCTGCTCAGCCTCCGTTTGTGGCTCGGGCAGCAGCTCGACGACGAGCCCGCGGATCTCGCGACCGCCACGAGCTTCGAATGGGCTGAAGGCTGGCCAGCCCATCTCGCTTGATCGGGTCGACGGGGCGAGTGTACGCGCGGGCGGGTCCGGAGCTGGTGCGGGTGCGGGTGCGGGCGCGGGCGAGGGCGAGGGTGCGGGAAAGAGAGGTGCAGTCTGAGTCGGCGCATTTGGCTGAGCGATTACGATAGGCGAAGGCGCAGATGCAGGTGCAGGCTGGGTAAAGACGGGCTGAGGAGGCGAAGCTGCCGGACGAGGTGAAAGTCAGCGGGTTGGCCTCGCGCGGCGACAGATAGACTCTACGAGCGCAGCAGAAGGATAGTACGCACCATCGAAGGCTCGAGAAGCTGCAGCTGCGGTGTAGTCTGGCAGAATCGAGTCGAGGCGGAATGCGGGAACGAGGGAGCCGTTGTGCGAGCGGTAGACAGTGCGGGTCGCTTCTTCGAACGGCACAGGGAAGTCCTTTGGCAGTTCGTCCATCGCGTAGCAGTGGAGAAGCGAGGGAGAGGTGCGTGCGGTGAAACGAGAGAGAAGGAGAGGGAGGACGTGGAGCGGCGCAAGCACCTCGCCTCTGCTGCCAGGACTTCAGACATGGTCGTTGGAACGGTCTAGAGCAAGTTACGACGAGATTGACGATAGGGAAGGAGTGAAAGCGGGTTCAAGCGATGAAGAGGGAGAGCGTGGAGTGTACGACAACAACAAACTACAAGCGGGCGTTCGCTAAGCCTGACTAGTCCTGCTGGACGGCGAAGAAGATGTGCTTGACG